CGTCCAACCCAGCCTCGACCCTGGCAACCGTTCACGCCCATCTGACCCGCGCCTTCCTCTCAACAAACCGCGGACCCCTAGAGCGACACGTCAAACCCAGCCTCGACCCTGGCAACCGTTCACGCCCATCTGACCCGCGCCTTCCTCTCAACAAACCTCGGGCCCCCTAGAGTTGAAATAAGCGACACGTCCAACCCAGCCTCGACCCTGGCAACCGTTCACGCCCATCTGACCCGCACCTTCCTCTCAACAAACCGCGGACCCCTAGAGCGACACGTCCAACCCAGCCTCGACCCTGGCAACCGTTCACGCCCATCTGACCCGCGCCTTCCTCTCAACAAACCTCGGGCCCCCTAGAGTTGAAATAAGCGACACGTCCACCCCAGCCTCGACCCTGGCAACCGTTCACGCCCATCTGACCCGCGCCTTCCTCTCAACAAACCGCGGACCCCCCCCCCACCCTAGAGTTGAAGTAAGCGACACGTCCACCCCAGCCTCGACCCTGGCAACCGTTCACGCCCATCTGACCCGCGCCTTCCTCTCAACAAACCGCGGGCCCCCTAAAGTTGAAGTAAGCGACACGTCCAACCCAGCCTCGACCCTGGCCCTATACAATCAACGTCGGGGACATCAGCCGGTCAAACGTGATCTATTTCATTATCCTCCAGCGGCGCCTTCATGCTGCTGATGTGATGGGAGCCAAATCAGGTTTGTCTAATAACAGGGCTAGCATGGCGGCAGGGGAGTGGCTGGGGGGGGGGCTTCTCTCCGGATATACAGATGCTTCAGAATAGGTTTTTTTCTGTTTCGTTGGGTGTAGCCACGGTATAACAGGGGTAATTAGGTCGTGGTTGGAATGGATATGAGGAACTGCATGGTCTAGAATTAGAGCCCTTGACTGATAACCCATACGTCTAGAGTTCGAATCCGGGTTCAAGTCAGGAAAAACATCCACAAAGCTCTGATGAGTACCTAACCAACGCTAAGAAAAGTAAAGGCGGCTGGGCGTAGTGCTGACCACACTATCCCTTCATACCCCGTAATCACAGAAACAGGTGAACTCTACTTCATTTGCCCCATGGATCGTCAAGTTCGAAAAGAGTGGACATAAAAGATGAGTTCAGCACCTCACGTTTCTTATACAGGAAGTCAGGGGTCAATAAAGAGAAGAATAGATTGGGGGCTGATAGTCATCTCGTTGAAAGATACACATTTATGGTAGCTTCTGCCTCAAGTTATGGAAAACTCCAAACGTCAAGCTCACATACATTTTGTCTGAGTCTGTGTTTAAAATGTTGTTATCGACATACCAAAATCCAATACACTCGACTCACGCTTGTCACGCTATGAACATTTTGTCTGTGTTTAAGCTCCTGTTATCGACATGCTGAGATCTGTCTTACAATCGGCTCAAACTTCCAGACATGACATGCACGTGCTGCAACTATAAAGTCGGGCGAAGCTTTGAACTCACATCCATAAACACGCTATCTAGCTGCTGTGTGTTTTCTGTCTCCCACCCCCTCTTTTTCCCACCACTATGTGTTAGCTATACAAAAAGTATGCACCTTTACCCCCACCCCCTAACAATTATAAGCTATTTACTTATAATAACATACGCAGTTTTCTATTTAATCCACATGAGTGTGATAGTTACATATATTGAAATCGCTGGCAGTCACTATCAGTAGCACTAACACTCTCAAACCTTGCAGTCCTATAAGGCAATGAAGTAAAGTTCACCTGCTTCAGTGACCCAGACGTATGAAGGGATAGTGTAGTCAAAACTATGTCCAGCCGCCTTTACTTTCCCTAATTTAAGTCAATAGGTAAGGTACCCATCACAGCAGGCAGGACGCTGGGACGTTCTACAGATTCAAGCCCGCGATTCGAACTAGAAACTTTCCGGTTTAGTAGTCAAACGTTCTACCATATCACCACCACCCACCCCGCAGAAAAAAAAATACACCTACAAAGCTATGCAGTTTACTCTATGGCCACACGTTTGAGCATTCACCTCTCGCTACACACAGTGTATGCAAAAAAAAAAAAAAAAAAAAAAAAAAAAAAAAAAAAAAAAACATTTTCAGCCCGGTTGCATGTGATGATGTCTTCGTGACCTCGCCGAGGACAAAGCCGGTATCAGCCGGTGGTAATACGATTACGCATGCTCGTGTGCATCACGATGCCTGATTATGACACACAGCATGCATGATGTGACCGGTGCTTATGACACAGAGTATGCTTGATGCGGCATAGTAGATACTTTTGTAAAGTTGAACGTTGAACAGTTCCAAAATATTGGACAGTTCTAGTACGTTGAACACTTCTTGAAAGCCGAACGTATCTTCTAGAATGTTGATGAGTTCCAAAATGTTAGACATTTCTACAATATTCTAGTTCTATTTTTGGACTATTCTAGAATGTTGAACGACTAGAATGCTGGACTACCATAACTGGACGTCTGAATACGACATAGAGATTAAGTTCCACCATCCTTCAGAACGAAGAAAAAAAAATCTCGACAAAGCATTCTAAGAGGCCGAATAAACACCATCATTGGATAAATAAACAATACACAGCCAGAGATCCCTACACAAACACCGGTGATTGGGTCTTTGAATTAACTACAGAAAGATAATCATAAAAATACGGCCCCTTTTCCCCTACCTAAAGGTTTAGAGAAAATAATTGAATCGAAAGGCTGAGACAGGAAAACCCTTATAATTTCACGGCTGGTATGAGGTTGGAGGGTCTTTGGTAGTGGGATTCATCAGTTAAAGGGTGAAATGGGGGAGGGGGGATTTGTGTAGGGCTTTATTAGGGAGGAGTTGGTCTAGGGTTAAAGTAGGCTGGGGGATGGTAAAAAGATTTAGTTAGGTATATGGTTTCAGTAGGGATGGGGTTGGTATTGTGTAATTTGAGTATAGCGTGGGTTGGTTTAGCTTTAGCAGGGCGTGGGTTGGTACGGCTATAGTAGGAATTGGTTGAGATAGAGCTTTTTGGAAAGTGGGGGTGGTTTAGGGTTTTAGTAGAATAGGAGGTGGTATAGAGCTTTAGAAGGGTGGGGGGTTGGTATAAGGCTTAGGAATGCTGAGAGTACGTCGGTATGGTGTAGCTAGGGGGACAGGTGTAAGGATTTGGCAGGGTGGGGGTTATGCCTAGGACTAATTGCGACTTGGTATAGTAATGGGTGGTATAGCTTGAGTAGGGCTGGGGTTTGAAATGGCTTTAGTGGGGCTGGGGTTGAAATAGGGCTTAGTAGGGCTAGGGTTGGAATAGGGCTTTAGTAGGAAAGGGGTGACTTAGTAAGGGGTGGTATAGAGCTTTAGAAGGGTGGGGGTTGATATAAGGCTTATGTATGGTGTGGGGTATGTCGGTCTATGGTAGCTAGGGGGACAGGTGTAATGATTTAGTAGGGTGGGGGTTGATATAAGGCTTAGGTATGGTGTGGGGTATGTGGGTAGCTAGGGGGACAAGTTAAGGATTAGGTATTGTGGCGGTTATGCCTAAGTTCTGATTGTGACTTAGGTACGCAGTGAGGCGCACAGCCAGGTAAGGAGATGACTATGTATAGCATCACGTCTGCAAACTGAAAAAAAAAACAACTGCGGGAATCGCACTTTAATATTGCAAACCATTTTTGTTACATTTTTTAATGACAAAAGTAATTACGTTGAGGCTGCGTTAAAATGCTTGACAATAATGTTTTAAATTACTTCACAATTATACGCATTAGCTGTCGTGTTCAAATAAAATCAGAAAAAAAACCCACTTCCTACATCGGTTTTTAAAAGAATTTTTTTTCGTTATAAAGATCGATCAACGGCTAATGCAGGACATATGTAAGGAAAGGTCAGGTGACGTAATGAGCATGTAAACCCCTATCACGTAACACCATTAGCTGTTCTATCACAGATTAGCACTGGAGGGTGTCAGCTAGCTTATGCTAATCACGTGACACCATTAGCTGTTCTATCACGGATTAGCAATGTAGGGTGTCAGCTAGCTCTTGCCATACAAGTCTACGAGGGGAGGTAAAACTCTTCGACCTGCAGAATACAACTGTTCGCTTTTTTTTCTGTCCGAATTAAGATGTTCATCTACAATGTCATCTTTTTCCGGTCTACGTTTTTGGTCCAAATTTTATTATCTTGTCTTACGCAATTTGGCGCGACTTTTTTTTTATTGAAAAATGATCCCCCCCCCTATATACAATGTAAAATGACGGTATGCTAACGTTTAAAACCCTAATTTTTTAAATTTAACGTTCGTATTATTTGAGGTCGTGAATGTTAGTTAAGTATGTGTCAACGTATGAACAGAAGTTTTCATCAGTGTAAGTTAGGTCTGTGGGCTTTAGTAGGACGTGTGTGTGTGGGGGGTGGGGGGGTGTTATAGCTTTAGTAGGTCTGGGGTTGACTATCATAATGTTTAGGATCTGAGATTGAATCAAAATAGCAGTAGCTGACACGATACGGCCAGTGTTATGTGCGACATTATTAAAGGTATCAGGTCATGCCTATGTTGTGAGGTATGATAAATAGACGATTCAGATCACCGAGTATCTAAGTTGAATTAACGAATCATCTAAGTACTGTCTTGGCTGCTACTAAAATTGTACGGTAGCGCATTACATAGTTGAAATACTAGAATAATATAGTAGTACATGATTTTAAGCCTAAAATAATCTTAAGTACATATTTAGGTACGTGCGTACGGAAGCAAGTTAGTAAGTACGTGAGTAATGAATTAGTAAGTAAGTAAGTTAGTTAGTAAGTAATCAAGTAAGTAAGTAAGTAAGTAAGCAATTAAGTAAGTAACTGAGAAAACAATTAAGTAAGTAAGTAAGCAAGTAAGCAATTAAGTAAGTAAGTAAGCAAGTAAGTAAGTACCTAAATGCGTTAGTAAGAATCGCATAGTGACACAGCATACAAACACACAACATAGCTAAAAGGGGAGATAATATAAAAACCGAGAGTAGCTGCCTCTTTACAAACCTTATCTCTGATTCCCTGCCTCATTGTCTCCCTCTCCTCCTCCATCTTCCTGTGTTTCTCCTTCCTCTTCTCCTCCATCTCCCGTCTGGCTTCCTCAATCTCTCTCGCCTCCTCGTCATCTTTCGTGTTACCTCCGCCCTCCTCGTCTTTACCAATGGCACCTGGGGTAGAAACAATGAGAAGGTGTAAGGAAAAAGTTGACGATTTAAAGAGCAACAAGTCAAGGCACACAAAAAATGAAAATATTTAACAAAAAAAAACTTGACGATTTAAAATAATAAGTCAAGGTTCAAACAAGGTGAATATAAAAAAAGCGCGATTATTTATTTCAAAAAGTCAAGGTACAAACACGGTGAATTTAACAAAAACTTGAGGGTTTATTTAAACAAGTCATGGTTTCAAAAGACACAAACAAATAAGAAATAAGAAACACTGGACAATTTAATAAAAACAAAATCATGGTTCAAACAAGGGGATTCTAACAAAATTTGACGATTTGATTTTACATATAGGGGTTGGCGTGGTCGGGTCGGTAAAGCTCATGGCTGGTAAACCGAAAAGTCTCGAGTTCGAACCCTCGGGCAAATGAGGAAGGTGCAGCAACTCCAAAATAAAACAACCGCCGACTTGTAGCAAGCTGAAATCGGAGACAGCGACCTACACGGCGTATACCATATGGACAAATAATGCTTAATTGGGTTGGAGGGAATCCCTTTCACATGCAAAAAGAAGACAACCCTTATAGCGACCTCATTGCAACTAATGTACAAGTCCATATTTCTTTCTTGTTTTTTTTTTTTTTTTTTTAGACAAGGACAAAAATTATGACATGGCCGATTAGACCAGCAAACGAGGCCAAATAATTGTATGATAACATTAAAAAAAAATGGGGTCGCGGCATCTGATACAAGATAATTCCACATTACTATCTTTAGCCCTCAAGGCCGATAGTATCGTCAGGTGGAATGGTAACCTCTGGTATAATTGGTATTAACATAGAGTTGTCGCCCAGCGCAGAGCCAGTTAATATGGCGAGTAATTAGTTCATATCGGAAGTACAAAGCGTTAAATTATTTCAATTCAGAAGAAATGTTTCCGAAATTACACTCTCTTGGTTTATGCTAAATTAAAAGTAATAGCACGTTTCCTAAACAAACAAAAAAACCCACATATTTCCCTGTTTGATCAAGTTTAAAAAAAAAAAAAATTATTTTTACGTGAAAAGAATTATGGCATGTTTTCGCAGTGGATGCTGGAAAATGAAGGCTAAACACAGGATTAACGTGTTATATTTTTGTTTGGATTTTTCTTTCGTTATAAGCTTTGGATTCCATGAGGAGCATTATTCATCTCACACCCCTCTCAACCTCTGGGGAAGGGGGCAGAAGGGTGCTCTGTCCTGGCGGTTTGACCTCTGCCAGTGGTATGGATTTTCCCCTCATTTGCACAACAGTGATGGAGAAGAAAATGAAGACTGGGCGACGGTAAACCGGGCGAGGGGCGGCTGACCTGGGCGAGGGTCGTTTGACTGGACGTCAGAGTTAAATATAGGCGTTTGAAAACATCATCAACAGCAACAAAACAACGAATGACTTGAGTTGAAACAATATTTATAATATTTTAACCAAAATAATAAACAATTTAGAAAAAAAAGTGTGAAAATTTGAATTAAAAAAAATCAACGTAGACCAAAGCATGAATATCAACCCAAACGTCTCGAGATGAGTTCCTTCAATGCGATCAATACTGCAGGTCATGGTACTTAAACACTCACCCCATTACATGCGGGTAGAAAAGATAGACTTACATACACCTTAAAGGCTGCATAGACTTTTTAAAGAACCTTACAGTTGAAACATTTTTAAAAGTTCCTAATGAAAAATAAACAAACGTTTAAATTCTTGTTTAGACCAATTGGGAAGATGAAAAGGCCTCGGAATTAGAACTGATAGTGTGGTGAGCACTATACCCAGCCGCCTTTACTTTCCCCAATGTAAGTAAGGTACCCAGCAGAGCTGGGTGGACTCAGGGACGCCCTAAAGTCATGCCCAAACCGAGATCCGAACTCGAGACTTATGGGCTAGCAACCACGACGTCCAAAAAAAAAAAACTAATTTAAAAATAAACTAAATTTCAGGAAATAATATCAATGGTGAACAAGGCATTATAATACAGACATGCCCTTAGTTTTGTATCACGTTACGAAAAGAAGCTTTTAAAAAAAAAAAATCTTCTCCCATCTCATTTCCATATTTGAACAAACTATCCCCAGCCAATCGGCCATTAAACGAGCATTCACAAAATCCATAGCCTCTATTTTAAACCCATTTTAATGTGGCTAAAATTACCTTGGATACCTCACACATCAACACACGCCCCAATCTTTGAACAAGGCTGTGAATGGGGTTTTTTTTAAAGGAAGCGACAAAAATAACAAACGGAACAATTTTTTTTTCAAAATCCCAATAGTTTTTAGCAATATTCCAATCAAGGCAAAAATGTGTTAATTAAAATTTAAAATCCCGAACCAAGTTGAAAGACATGCTGGGCTGTTGATCAGGTTTGAATGAGCCAATCAGAAGCTTTGTTTTTGTTCCGTTCTCACACTCGGAGTTTTCGCTTAATTAGCCGCCAACGACAGTATAAGATGGGAGAGGGATGGGGTAGTGGAATCATGGTAAACTGTGTGAATGACAGTATCAGCGATGGTAAGATGGAGAAACGCAGTGATTAGAATTCACATCAGATGTGTAAGCTGAGAGGATGGTGGTCAAGATGTAATGAATTTAAAACTGAGTTTCTCAAGATAATGTGAAATCTAAATTACGAGAACTGAAAGCAGAGAATGCATAGTTGTACAGAGGTAAGTAGGCAACTTAAATGAGAGTTTTGAATAGGTGCTGTAAGAGCTATATTTTAAAAATTGTTGAATGTTACAGTGTTTATTTTTTCCCCGTTAGTAAACAAATTCTGATCAATCGCGATGGGGGAGGGGGAAGGGGGGGGGGGGGGAGGGAGGGAGGGGGGCAGGGGGTGGGGTAACTAATGCCACATAAAACTTTCTACAAAGTCTTATGAGACATACAGTTTTCTAGAAATCAAGTTTTATGTGAAATTCAACTTTCTACTGATAAAGTATTGGCTGGCATACAACTTTCTGCAGGAGAAATTGTGTTGTGAGTTAAAACATACACAAAACACAACTCTTGTCTAAGTCCCTCAGTCCACCCAGCTCTGATGGGTACTTGACTCATGTTAGGCAAAGTAAAGGCAGCTGGGCATAATGCTGACCACATTATCTCTTCATATTCTGAGGTCACAGAAACAAATGAACTCTACCTCATGGATCGTCAAGTTCAAAAAGGGAACTTTAGTTTTTTGTGTGACACGATATCTATAAGGGGACCAGCAATCGAATCCTGTGGGAAATCTTGGCCCACACATTACGTCCTCTCAACCAGCAATTCTTTTTTTTTTGTTTGAAGACGCCAGCAAATATAGAATCGTGGAAGGTGCGGTAGTAAGAGTAAAGAAAAAAATAGTTTTTTTTTTTTTTTTGGGGGGGGGGAGATATTGGATGTGTGGAATGGGGAATTCTGAGGATATGCAAAGTAGGGAAGAAACGGGAGAGTGGGAGTGGGGGTGGAGGAAGGGGTGGAAATGGGGAACTCTGAGGATATGCAAAGTAGGGAAGAAACGGGAGAGTGGGGGTGGAGGAAGGGGTGGAAATGGGGAATTCTGAGGATATGCAAAGTAGGGAAGAAACGGAGGGGTGGGGATAGTATGGTCAGGGGAATTGATGATGTGTGTGGGAAAAATGGAGAGTGGGGATAAATATAAAGTGGGGAGGAAAATCGAGGGTGGGTCTGGAAGAAAATAAAAAGGAAAATAAGGGACGAAGTTAAAACAAAGTATGTTGTTTTCTTATAAAAAATGTCATATCTCGAAGATTTTAAAGATATTTTTATGGAAAACTATCATAAACGTCAGCTGTAAAGAAGACAGATGTTTACAATTTTGAAACAAGACAACAGCATCAAGACAAATACGACACAATCATTTGTTGGATATTATTTTTATTCCGCCTGTTGAAGATAAAAGATCTGTCAAATATTTGCGTAATACTTATTTAATGCGTACACAATACCTTCACAGTTCAAGACAGAACTACATTATGATTACATTTCAAATCAGCACGCTTAATGGTTAGCCAAAACGGTTAGTTCGACAGTAAGCTCTTTAACACAATCAATGATTGTTTTTATTCATCAGCATATATATATATATATATATATATATATATATATATATATATATATATATATATATATATATGTATATATATATATATATATATATTGAGAGAGAGAGAAATAAATAGATACAGACAGACAGGTAGGTAGGAAGGTAGGTAGGTGGGTAGATAGATAGGCAGATAGAGACGAACAGACAGACAGACAGACAGACAGAACGACCGACCGACTGACAGACAGGTAGGTAGATAGGCAGATACATAGACAGAAAGGCAAACAGACAGACACACAGACACAGACAGACAGACAGACAGACACAGACAGACAGACAAAGACAGACAGACAGACAGACAGACAGACAGACAGACAGACAGACAGACAGACAGACAGACAGACAGACAGACAGACAGACAGACAGACAGACAGACATATGAAAGACTACCAACAGCGATCTTACTGTCTTACAACTACACCCCCCCCCCCCCCACATTCATCACGACATACGTCAGATTTCCAGCACGTCACCAACAAAAAAGCGTATCCTCTCCTAGATTTCGACACACACCGTGCAGCTAATGGAGCCGAGCCGACACTCAAACAGCGAGCTGTACACACGCTCTACTCCCATTATCGCATTAGCTCCAATACAAATCTCTTAATGGCTTTTAATACATATCCTCTACCGCGACCCGGAGAGAGAGAGAAAGAAAAAGGTATGATTTGGGGTCTTGGAATAAGGTGGAAACTATTGTTTTACGAGTCTATTCAAATGGCTTTTTTATTTTTATTTTTTTATTATTCAAACTGAAAAAAAAATGAAGAAAAAAATTCGGGAAATTTGAAACCCACAGTGTTTTGAAGACATGCATTATGCATTATCTACTTTACCACGCGCCAACAGCTTTTCC